CGGAGCTCGACGCCGCGGGCGTGCCGAAGACGGGCCGGCCGAAGGCCTCGATCGAGATCCTGCGCGACCTCGTGCGCCGCCTCCGCGCCGGCGAGCCGTCGGCGTCGCTGAAGATCCCGCGGAAGCCCAAGTCCGCGGAGGAGCTGTTCTGCTGCGACAAGGCCGAGCAGCTCGCGTGCCGCGCGAGGGCCCCGCGTCCGTCGACTTCGAACTTTTCCCGCGCGCAAACTTTTCGTCGTCGCAGGCCACGCTCGTCGCGGACGGCGCCAAGAAGGTCGTCTTCAAGTACCAGAACGGCAAGGCGAAGGCGGGCGCCAACGGCACGGACTACCTCGTCGCGCGCTGGCGCGGCCTCGCGGAGACGGACCCGCTGCGGCTCGAGTTCGAGGAGCTCGCGCGGCGCGACGTCGCCGCGGCGGCGGCCGACGAGCCGCCCGTGGACCGGCTCCAGCGCGTGCCCGACCCCGGCCTCGTGAACCTGCCGACGATCTGGCCGCGCATGCGGTTGCCCTTCCGTGCCGCGACTCCGAGGCGTCGAGCGACGAAGGCTTTTTCCCGCGTCCAGGTACGCGCAGCCGGAGTGCGGCGTGCGCTACCCCTACGGCTCCAAGCTCGGCCTCTTCAAGGGCCGCGTCGGCGGCGGCGTCCGAGGTTTCGAGCGAGTTGCGTCCGTCTCGTCCGAGACGCGCGTCCGCGAGAGACTCGACGCCTTCGATTCGACGCCTCGGCCGCGCGAAACTTCCGCGCGCTCTAGTGCTTCGGCTGCTGCGTCTGGGCCCAGTGCGCCGCGCGGTCCGAGGAGTTCCCGAACCTGCTCAAGGCCCTGGCGACGGTCCCGCGCGTACGCGAAGCCGCGTCCTCGGTTTCGAGCCTGCGGACCGACGCGTCGTCTCGCGTAGGTCTCGCTCTACCTCACGGCGGTGCTCCGGCCCGCGCCTTTCGGCCCACGGCGCGCATCTCTGGATCGCGACGCCGCTCGCAGGTCGACGTCAACGACATGGAGACGCTCCGCGCGCGCGCGCGTCGGACTGCCGCGTCCTGCTCCCGAAACGTGTTTCGAGAGCGCGCGAGATCGAGGGTCTCGCTCCAGGGTCGCGTTCTTCTCGTAGGCATGTGCTACCGCGTCATCCGCGACGCGAAGCGGCGCGTCGCGAACAACTCCAAGCCGCGGGCCGAGGACGACCAGTGCCCCGCGTACTACGGCGTGGACTACAAAAGTGTCGAGGGCAAGCTCGTCTGCAAGTTCACGGTCCACGAGGGCACGAAGACCCTGGCGATGAAGAGCGCCCCGGCGGACCGTCGGCGTTCCAGCGTCGAAATCCTTTTTTGAGACGCACCGGAATCCGCGGCCCGTAGCGCGCTTCGAGCCCTACTTCGGCGGCAACTCCCGCGGCAACGTCCTGAAGCACCCGACGGCCGTCGCCGTCTACCGGCGCGATCTCGGCGTCCTCGTGCCGCGCTCGCGCCCTCACAGCCCCTCGCAGCGAGCGCCTCGAGCGCAAGAACCGCATCGCCGGCGGCGCGGCCGCGGCGTCCGGACCCGTCGTCGACGTTCGAAACCCGTCTCGCGCGTAGGCATCGCCGTCTTCAACTTCCCGTGGCACCCCTACGCGCGTCGCCGG